CAAACTGTGTCTTTGGTCTATCAAGTATTAGATTTGATGGTATTACTACTTGAGCTCTATCCTCTATATATCCAAATGTACCCTGTTACAAGTGCTTTAGATATATAAATCCAACACTTAATGGCTTCTTCGTATTTTATGAATGTGAAAATTTTAGTTTACCTAATATTCGAATAGCTCTATCAACTCTACACTCTCTCTTCACGTTATTTTTCAGTGTATTTGTGTATAAAGGGAACGAGTGAAAACACGTACAGAAAAGAAAAAGCTATTGTTTTATTTACTACACACCATATACACGCGTGAAAGAATAAAAAGGAAAAGAATTTTTCACTTGTCTCAACCATTATTGAGATAGATGGAAAAAAAATTCTTTTGTTTTTGTCAAAATAGTAAACTCTTTTTAATCGGTGTCGAATATAACTTATAGTGAATACGTTTTTCAATCTGAAGTGACTGGTGAGTGATACAAACTTTTGTTATACATTAGACAGATTATAAACACAAGCTTCGACTTTCGAGCGGTTTCCTCTTACTACTCGTTTAGAGATCTTTTATAGTTAACAATGATACGAGACTCAAACAGAGTGGGTCTTTTTTCCAATTAAAGCATGACTATTTTATTATAGTTTTAATGGCAACTGCATCAAAAGTTCAATGTACAAAATGTGCGAAAAATAGTGCTATAACCGCGTGTGAAGGTTGTTCATCAAAACTGTGCAGACGGTGCTTCAATGATCATCGTCAAGATTTGTCGAAAGAACTCGACAATATTGTTTACGAACACGATATGCTCAAAGAGCAGCTCGAAACGCCCAATGAAAATAATTCTCATCGTCTGTTAAAACAAATTGATCAATGGAAGAAAGACTCAATCGATAAAGTAAATCAGCTTGCTGATCAATGTCGGACTGACGTTGTCAAATTGCTAGATAAAGACAAGGACGAGCGTATTGATAGATTTCGCAAAATGACGAGTAGAGTTCGTAAAGGTCAAGATGATGAAGATTATGATGAGCGAGATCTCAGCAAGTGGATGACCGCTTTAAAAGAACTAAAAGATGAACTTATCAAACCATCAAACTTCTGCGTTGAAGAGGATAAAGAACAACCTTCTTGGATTCAAAAGATCAGAGTACGCGAAAATGTCCCCGAACAAGTAAAGATGAAAGATGATGGTAAGTGGTGATTATGCCTAGTTCAACTTTATCAATAGACAGATTTAATAGCGTCTTCGACGAGCACCATATCAAGAATGATGATTCTTGTAGATAGTTGGCCCAGCTTCTTATGAATCGTGCTTTCTAAACAAATCTTGGCTTGTTGCACGACCTGTCACGCCACACTCATGTGGGGCTATCTTTTGCTTAGAGAAAGTGTAAAACACCACGTATAAGTGTAATAAACTTCATTACTTGAGAACTTTATTTGGAAACTTTCAAACACTATACTGTGTTCATCGTCAGGCAAAAAAGAAAGTGAAAATTCTATGCAGATTATAGAAATTGATAATTAAGAGAAGATTTAACCAACAAAATGCTAAAGAAAGGCCGATATAGAGAACATAGATTTGATTTACTTATGCCGCTGATATACTGTTCACAGATATCACTTAAAAACAAGAAGTTCATACCTTATATCGTTGTAAGCTAACGGTTTATTTCTTCTTGTTAAAGTGCTTTCATTAATAATTTGCTTTTGAGTATTATTATGTTTGGCTAATATTTCTGGATGTTCAAATAAAACTATATGCTTCATATCTTTAACATGTTTAGTTGCTTTTGAATATTTAGAACTGGATGAATGTACACTCTTTGTGCTGTTTCATTCTAATCATTACTTCTAAACTTGTCTGTCCGATATAAAATTCTTTACAATCTTCATATCTTATATGATCATTTACATCATAATCTTAAATTAGTGGCGGTGGTTGCTGTTGGCGACACCCTGTTCTGAGACACATATTCTTTCAAGTATGAAAACCCAAAACTGAAAGTTTGGACAGGTATTGAATTTTCAAAGGGAGATCCTATATTCAAGAACCTATCTAGTCTTTTAAATTAATAGCTATACCCTTTCTTTAAACGTCAAAAGATGCGCCTTCAAACGAGCTTTACAATGACGCAGAAGGCTGAACTTTTTCGTCAGTTAATTGCCAGGTAAAATTCTACTTTTATTTTTCTTTTAGTTTTCTACGTTTAGAACAACAAAAAAATATTCATTTTCTCTACAGGAAATGTTGAAAATGCACTATTATTTAAAATTGTTCACAATCTTCTTCGTAAAACTGTTGTGCTATAATCTATAATCTTGGTAAAATAAAATTGTTCACAATCTTCTCTAAAGATTATGAACAATTTTATATCCGACAGACAAGTTTAGAAGCAATGATTCGAATGAAACAGCACAAAGAGTGTACAACTCCCAAAGCACCCAAATAAATTTCTCAAGTAATAGAGTTTATCTCACTTTTACTCTTTCCCTTAACTTTAAAATCAAACTAAAATCTGCATATCTTTTGTCTAATGTTTTGCGAAAACAGAGGGTATAACGATGGAAACTATTCCCACAAGCATAGTTTCGAGCGAATATCTAGAAAATGGGTATAATAATTCGAGTAAAAGGACTTTTAGCAAAACAAAATGTGCCTTTGCTAAATATTTTGAGCAAAAAGTTAGTTAAGCAACAACAGTTTAAGCAAAACAATTTTCAGCAAAATTACCATTGAGCAAAAACTGATGAGCAAATGGAAGATGAGCAAAAAAGTGACTAACAGATTATATGTGTATCATTTTTATAATAGAACTGTAGCCATTTTTCCCAGCAGTTGATAAGTATTTTTGAAAGCGTCATCATTTAGTGAAAGTTGACATACCATTTTAAGGAAGAAAACGATGTTGAAACAAAACTAGAGATGCAACCTTCCCAGTAGTTGATATGAATGAGTTGACATTAAATCAATTTAAAAAGTTGAAATGGACTTTTTGACTGGTATATCATTCGTCCCTAGTAAATCAAAGAATGCATGATACACAATAATTTGTAACTTGTCCTTTCTGTGTTTTCTCTTTTGTTCTTAAAATGTACTTTTCATTTTTATACTTTTATTCAAAATAGAAATTTACTGAAACGAATTTTTCTCATTTTCTATTTGATCAAACTCCTGTTGCTTAACTAAATTTTTCCTCAAAATTGTTTCGTTCATTTTTGTTTTGCTAAAAGTCGCTTTGTTCATATTATTTTTGCACATATTCGAGGTTATCTTATCTTTAAGGTTACCTTTTCGAGGTTATCCTACACAAATGCGCCAGTATGAATTGTGAAAGTGGATGTGCAGAATACTTGTGCGTTTATGGACAAGCACACAGCTGTTTCTTCTCTTTCCAGGAACTCGTATCTCTACGAAAACATCTTCAATATCATCATATTTGTGGACTCCAGCCGCCAGCATGTCATCAGTACGTTCTTCACACACTGCAACTTTATTATCATCCGGGAAAGTATTAGTAGCAGGTGGTTATATAGGTGGGAATTATTTGTCAAGTAGCGAAGTGTATGATCCCCCATCGAACACGTGGACTCCAGTCGCCAGCATGTCATCAGTACGTTATTTACACACTGCAACTCTATTATCATCTGGGAAAGTATTAGTAACAGGTGGTTATGTAGGTGGGAATTATTTGTCGAGTTCCGAAGTATATGATCCCCCATCGAACACGTGGACTCCAGTCGCCAGCATGTCATCAGTACGTTATTTACACACTGCAACTCTATTATCATCTGGGAAAGTATTAGTAACAGGTGGTTATGT